GAAGATTGGACTCCATGTGTAGGTCCAGGATATTGAAAAGAGCCAAAAACTGTCTGTAGGGTAGTGAAATAGGAAAAAAAAGATATCAAGAGTAGCTAGCAGACAAAAAATTGAAGAAAGGACAACTTGAAATGAAACGTCAAAACCATTAAAAAGGAGAGAGGGTCACCTAGGGAATGAAGATCAATTAGCAAGAACCATGTAGATTATAATAATCCATTAAGTGAACCAACTCCCTTAGCTCTGTTTGAATAGAAATACCACTGCTACTGCTAGGCAGTAGGCTTTAAACTTTGCCTGCAGCAGGAACCAAAGTATGGTGTGACTGCATCAATGCCCCACTCCCTACCAGATCTGCACCTGTTGGACTCCACCTCTCCCTCCTTGCAGTTGCTAGAGGGAAGAAAAAGGAAAAGAAGCAGCAGCCACCTTACAGCAACTCCATGCTTCTATTCTGGATTGAAAATCAGTTTTCTCACTTAAGACATGCACCCTGACTTTAGCAAGCTAATTTTATGGGGAAAGGTATGGGTGGTATATGAGTAAATACAGTAATTAACTTAAATAGGTTTTCGCCTGTGGTATGACAAATTTAAAAAATGCGCCTGAAATGCTCTGGTACAAAAATAAACTCTCTTTCCCCAGGTCTCTGCTGCCCAAGAATTTTTACAAAAATGGAAGGGGGGGTGGGGGGGAAAAAAGATGCACAGACATACTAATGGATTTTGTTTCTAAAAAAATAAAAGGTGAATCCCCCACCTCCCCACCCCCAATTTATAGCTATATGTCAGCTGACAAAACCAAGATCCTGCTCTCAATATAGTAACATTTTTCTGGCTGTAACACAGTAAACTTTTGAACGCTATACCAATGAATATTATATTTTCAGAGAACATGCTAAGCATCAATGTAAAGAATAGTATCTATTTGGGCATAAATTAGAAAAAGTGGAGGGAAACATGCAAACCCTGGGAATTAATACACACAGCAGCTTCTATTAGCTTGCCTGCAGATCAGTGAAATGCTTGATGGCAGCTACTAACATCTGATAGCATAAGTACACCCTACCACAGCTCACCATTCCTCTAATGCCATTTAACTTATTGAATGGCTTATTTTTCAGACGGAAAGTAAAGAAATAACGATAGAGGGGAAGTGTAGCAAGGGAGGAAGAAAGAAGAGCAATATAGGGAAAATGGAACTGGTGAACAATGCCCTGATCCAGCCTAAGCCTCTAGGCAGTATCAGAATACGAATACCATTTAAGCACTACCATTTAGACCACTTCAGTGATTCTAGATGTTGATATTCTTAGGAATGAGATGGGGGTGCAAATTGGAGTTCAGAATGGTATTAATTTTTTTTAAACTAACTGGTAAGGAAATTCTTCCCATTGCTCTTCAGACTTCTGTTTTAGCCTATAATGGAACTTCAGAAAGCAGATAATCATTTTAGTGTATGCATGTGGAACAATCATTTGCCCAAAGCCTTCTGTAAAGGTCATAGCAGAACCTAAATTATGACATTTATTAAAGCTATTCACAAAAGCTGAAGAGACTAGCTTACAAAACTTATATTAAAAGAGGCAAAATAAGATTAATAAAATCTTTCACTGAAGGACAAACCAATCAGCTTCCTAGCCTGAGGCCAGCAGGAGCGGGCTTTTCAAAAAGCTTAAGTGACTTGGAAACACAAGTCCATTACCTTTTCCCCTTTGAATAGAAACTGTACTTGTATACCACTTAGGTCTGGCATACTGTTTTTTCCAGAAGCATGCAAATCCTACTATAACATCAGAAGTCTTGGAAGGCCTCCATAGTTTTTCTTCTTTGGTAGTCCAGCACTTTAGACATTGGGATGACAATGCACCCATCCCTCTCAAAGTGTCTTAGAACTACAGTCACAAGTAAAGTGATTTTCTGGTTCAGATCAAGGGCCAATATAATATTTTGAGGCCTGAATTTCAAAAGATGTTTCAGCATGATACTATTACAGTGAAAGCTTTATATATGACTGTTTGTACAAAGGGGCTTGTGATTCCACTACTTTTTTTTTTTGCTAAACATGTTTTTATGAGCAACAGTAATTAATAGAAGTTGAAGCGAAAACACTTATCAATAATTACGAAACCAGCAAGGGAACCAGAAACCCAGCTGCTACCTGCTACCTTTTAAAAAACCTGGGCATGTTTCAGGGTCCTCCTACCATGATTATGGCTCAGCTACGTAGTTTAAATTCCTGACTCCTATTAAAATCAAATCAGATGTGTCAACTCCTTACAAATGTGCCCATATCTAATCTTCGACATAGACTACTTGTACCCTTATGTGAGTACCATCAGAAATGAAAGCTAATATGAAATAAGCCAGAAGTCAAGGATGGACTGACAGGTCAAAGGATTCTTCTTCAACTCAGAATTCTGTTTCTCAAAGAACAACTTTCTATCTAATAGCTTTCTTGACTAAAGCAATACTTAAACGCTTAAGCACACAGGTCTGAAAAGGAGATGCACTGTTAAGTTGAACGCCAATCATCTTCATGACGACAAGAAATGGTGACAAGTAGGGAAGCACACATACATGTTCACCGATTCTGAGGGACAAGTTTTCTTAGTTTGTGTGGACCAACGAACACAAAGGCTTTGTATATTTCACAGAATAAGAGAAAATAGGAACTGAAGGGACTTCAGGAAGTCCTTTATGTCCATACCACTGCGTTAAACAATCTTTAAAAGATGTTATTAAAAACGTCTAACGATAGAGATTTCACAGCATCCATCTATTTCTCTGTTTAGGTATTCATACAGTGAGAAAGCTTTTCTAATGCCTAAAGTGAATTGCTTCTGCTGCAAAGCAATTTAAGTTTGATATTTTTGTCCTCTTCCTGCCGGATCCTGAGAACAGTTAATGACACATTCCTCATTACAGTAGCTCTTTAGATAATACAGAATATTATTAGGGTGCAGACAGAAGTGCAGCTCCCAGCTGTAACTCGGAACATGTTCTGCAAAGCATTCCGAGTTCCAGCATTACTCCAGATCAGACACAAGTTCACTGGTGGTTCCAGTGGGGAGGGGAATCTAGCTGCTGCTGGGAGCATGCAGCCACGTTCCCATGGCAACAGCTAGGGCTCTTCAGAATGGGAGCAGAGAAAGGTAGCAGAGGGAGCTTGTTCTTGGGGCTGCCCAGCTAGTGCTGAAGGGTGAAGTGGATGTACTGGAGCCCTGCCCCCCACCCCAAGGTGGATGGCTCCAATACACCAACCCCACTCTCTGGGGGAAAGGGGGAGCAGGCTAAAAGAACCCCTGACTGAACTCCCTCCACTTCTCTCCCCCCCCTTTCTGAAAACAGTGACAGGCTGGGAACTCCACAGTCAAGTTACAGAAGACGCTACATTTTGAAACGTCTATCTGATACCTCATGCAATGAGGGGTTAGATTTTTACCTGATCAGCCATTTTAAGCTGTTTGCAGCAATGTATTTGTGTTTGGTCACAGCTATAGACTGCTTTCTGTGGCCAGCTTAGGCAAAAATGGTCACTTCTGTCTACACCCTCAATTCTCTCCTCAGTCTTCTCTTGACTAAGCAAATCTAATTCTTTCAATCTTCCCTCACAGGTCATGTGTTCTAGAAGTCCACTTTCTTTGACAGATGTTAAAATAATGGTGAAATTGGTTGTGAAGTATTTTATGCCCCATCCCCAAAAACTGCATGTCCTACCATGCCAGACCTTTGGGATTAGGATCTAGAGAATGTTATGTTCCCGCACAACTGCTGAGGCCCAGGGATGTCCCCCACCTCATCTTAGGGGTTGGCCCAGGGAGGAGGTGGGGGTGAGGGTAGACTATGTCCCAGACCCTGAGCACTCGGATGGGGTACAAGGCAGTCACAGGTCCTGGGTTCAAGACCGGGGCTCTTCCCTGCCGATTTTAGGGATTGAGAAGAAGGGGGCACTGTTCTAGACCCTGGGGCTACTCTGTGCCCCATCCCAACACATACTGAATTAGAGTTTTTTCATTTTATACAAATGTAAAACTTGGGGAAAAGGAAGTTTTCCCTTGTAATTAAAAAAAAAAAAAAATACTGAAAAAAACTGCAAGGTTTTCAAAAGGTTTATGTTTCAGCAATCAGGTTTATAAAAAGGATGACCATTCCAGCCCAAATAAAAATCATCCTTTCCCCTCAAGACAGACAACTGGTAATTTTCTCCCTGTTCTAAACCACTTCAACCTAACGAAATACAACTCTACAACCTTTATGTAAGAAACATAGTTTATTGGATCATGCTACTATCATAGGTTTAAAGAACAGTTTTGTTATACCAAAGTAAACCACTGATAAAACAACAGACTAGACCGGGGTAGTTAATTATTTCAGCTGGAGGGCTGCTTAATGAGTTTTGTTGAGCTGTCGAGGGCCTCAAGGTTAGCTCCGCCTCTTAGTCACCACCTTGGGACCAGAAGTCCCACCCCCTAACTCCAGACCTTTATCACCAGAAGTCCCTCCTCTTGCCCCAGAAGTACTTTTTTGGGAGGGGAGGGGGTTTGCCATGTTTAAACCAGAAAAAAAAATTGTACATTAAAATTCGAACATCTAATATAACGCACCTTAATTTTATTTCAAAAAATATTTTTGTCCCAATTTGTGTGTGTTTGCATAGTATATATAGAGGTGATTGCATAATAGCTTAAAAAGAAAAGACTTACTCTTGTATATTGTGTGTGTGTGTGGGGGGGGGTTGTGAGGAAGTGTGGCTGTGTTTGGGGAGGTGTAGGATATATTGAGGTGTGTTGGTATGTTTATATATGGGGGGATTAAGGGTGTATGTGAGCAGGGTGTGGGTGTGAGGGGAACCCTCCACACCCCTCCCACATGGCACACAGCCCCTACTAATAGTGGCGGGCCCTTCAGGTGCTTATGGCCTGTGCAGGCACAGCCGTTTGGCTCCAGCCAGGTCTGGGAGCTGAATATGGCAACAAGAATAGGAGCCAGGCCAGCCTGCCTCTATCACGTGGGGCTCCTTCTGGCTCTCACACAGCTCCCTGGACTCTCACACCACCAGGGGAAAGCCCCACCTGATGGAGCCAGTGGCCTGGCCCTGCTCCCTGCCACCACGTGCTGATCCCAGGACTCCACTGGGAAGCAGGGATCAGGGCTCCCCGCCACTTTCGGCAGAGTTCCAGGAGCTGCATGTGGCAGCAGAGAGCGGGGAAGGCAGCTGGCTCCATCATGTGGGGCTTCTTCCCGGTGGCACACAAGTCCCAGGAGTTGCACGTGAGCCAAGGGGAGACCCATGCAATGGAACCAGGCCAATCTGAGCTCTATGTTCCACCAGCCTGCTGGGCACAGACCCCCAGGCTCCACACTGCCACCATCCCAGCATGGAACAAGTGGTGCAGCAGGGACACGAGGAGGAACCACTAGGGACCAGGGAAGCTGAGCAGGTCCCATGGTGGCTGCAGCAGCAGTAGCAGCAGCCCTGCCCAGAAGCTGTGCATGCTGGCTGGGGCCAGCACCCTCCCACACACAAGGGTAGGAGCAAAGCATGCAGGCTGGGTAGGCTGGGTGGAGTACAAATAATTGGTGGGCGCCTACAGGCCACATTAAATTGCCAGGCAGGCCAGATCAAGCCCATGGACCATATTTTGCCTGCCCCTGGACTAAACCAATGGTGGCCAACCTTTTAACCCCATGGGACAGATGGGCAGTGCCAGTGGGCTCAATCTGGCTGGCATGTGGGGCTGGCAAGGGGGGAGGGGAGAGTGCACAGCCCATCCCCAATCCATCCACCAGGAGGAAGGAGGGGATGGAGAGAGAGACAAAGGGAGAAGCAAGCCAGTCCTGACACAGAAGGTGCATGTGCAACCTAGTCATAGTCTGGATGTGCTGGGGGACTCAGAGGACAATGATGGGTGACAGGGAAGGAGCCCACGACTGATCTAGACAACCGGGGGGG